TTTTTTTTTTTTTTTTTTTTTTGGTTGGCTCAGGCTGCCTTAAGGGCAGGTTTGTTTGGGCATGTGGAGATGGGAAATGAACTGTGGTTCCCCATGCCTGACTGCGTTTGCATGAGCAGGTGCTTAAACAACTGAGCTAACCTGCAAGCCCCCAAGACATATTTTTTGTATTTTATTTAACAGAGTCCACAGTGGATTAAAGCACCTGCAAGCAGGCACAAGGGTCAGGGGTTCGATCCCTGGGCTTGCAGTGCCGGCACCGCTTGGGGGTTCCATCCCCCCCTGCCATGCAGGCCCCCATCCTCCCTCCAGATGGCCATTGAGAATGGGCATGATGGTGTAAGCCTGTAATCCCAGCTCTTGGGAGGCTGTAAACGGGCAGATCACTACAAGTCCGATCTAGTAGTGAGACCCTGAGCACCCTGTAGACCCTTCCCTAAAATATAAAAGTAAATATTTAACCAAGCACTTTCATTTCAAAGGTAAGAAACTTGGGTGATTTGTCCAAGCCAAAGCTGTGATACAGAACTCTTGGTTTCCAGTCTAGTGCTTTTTCTAGTGACCACCAAGCAAATACTTTAATCATGTCCTGCCTCCACTTCTTATAGTCTCTTCTCTTTTTGCTATACATGGTACCAACATTTTTCAGATAACCAAGCTTAAACCTTGGTGCTACTCAGATATTAAAACATTTTTAGGTCTGAAAATATAGCTCAAAGGCAAAAGTGACTGCTTGGCAAGCACAAGGTCTTGAGTTTGATTCCTGGTATCAAAAAAACCAATCTTTTTTAAATTCTCTTTTTGATATGCCTCTTAAAAGCCACTTCTTTGTACCCACCTTGCCACCAGTTTGGTCTAGATATTTACTACAGACTAACCTCTAATACCTTCTTCCTGAAAACCAGATTAATTTTATTTTTTCAGATTAATTTTCTAGAATAGGGCTTTATGTATCATTCTCTACCCAAATTCTTCAGTGGCTCTCCAATGCTATGGAAAGAAGTCCAAAATATGTAGTTGAGGCGCTGGCCAGATAGCTTAGTGGATTAAAGCACCTGCTTAGGTAGGCACAAGGACCTAAATTCGATCACCCAGCATGCCTTGCTGGCCCCGCCCCCCAGGGTGTGCTGAGCCAGTGATTGAGACTGGTTGTGATGGCACACCCCTGTGATCCTAGCGCTTGGGAGGCTGAAAACAGGAGAATCACTAGGAGTCCGATCTGTGCGTTGAGACCCTGTAGACCCTGTACCAAATACATTAAAAAAGAAGTTTCCAATATGTAGTCGAGGTCTCCAATTTTTTTCCTCTACCTCCCTGCATGATCTTTCTAGTCCATTAGTGAGATGGGGTCTTGCTATGCAAGCTGACCTCAAACTTGCAATCCTGCTCAGTCTTCTGAATGAGATTAGAGGCATCCATATACTGCATTGCCCAGCTTGTTCTAGGTTTTTTTTGTTTTCTTTTTTTGCGGAACCAGGGATTGAACTCAGGTCCTTGCACTTGCCAGGGAAGCGCTTATTCCACTGAGCCATCTCCCCAGCCCCTTGTTCTAGTTTTTTGTTGTGTTTTGTTTGACAGCACCAGGGGTTGAACCTAGATTTTTCTTTTTTCTTTTTTTTTTTTTTTTTTTTCAACTTGTTCTTCTTCCATTTATGTATTTGGGATGGGGTCTCACTACACAGCTCATACTAGTAGTGATCCTCTGGTTTTCAGCCTCCCCAGGTGCTGGGGTTACAGGTGTGCACTACTATACCTGGGTCATGGCTCAGGGTGCCCCAGGGGCAGGGCTGGCATGGCATTGCAGACAGGGATGGAACCCTGGTCTCTGTGCTTGCCAAAGCAGGTGCTTAGTCCTCTGAGTTATCTTGCCAGCCCCTAGAGTCTTTTCACTGAACTACTTCCACATACCCCCCGCCCCATGTTTTGTTTTTTGTACCAGGGATTGAACTCAGGACCTTGCACTTGGCTGGGCAAGTGCTTATGCCACTGAGCTATCTTTTCCCCTCCCCCACTTCTTTATCAGATAGGGTTTCTCATTCCCTAAGTCATCCAGGCTGGGCTCAAACTCAGTCTTTCTGCCTCAGTCCCAGAGTGCTGGGACTATAGGCACGTGCTTAGATGACTACTGAATCTTCCACTCTAGTCCTGACCTGTTCCCTGAGAACTGAACATAAAAATATCAGATGGACAGTTGTATTCTTATTTTACTATTTATATATGCCCAACTTCTAGTTTTTTAATTCATCCCCAAATACTATAAGGTTTTTTTTTTTTTTTTTTTGGTACTCTTTTTCCCCAGTATTTATTTTTATTGGTACATACTTGCAATATGCACAAGCACTATACAAGTGCAGAAATTCATAAAAAAATAGGAATTGCATTGTATCCACAAATTGCCCTTTTGGGGATCTTCCTCAAAGAGTTAAAACATCATATTATAGATGATGAAAGATATTTATTTTTTTTTTTTCTTTCCTTTTTCTTTTGGCAGAACCAGGGATTGAACTCAGACCCTTGCACTTGCCAGGCACGTGCTTATTCCACTGAGCCACCTTCCCGGCCCTACTATAAGCTTTTTTGCCTGAAAATTTGTTGATGCTGTTTACTTTGCCCATCCTTTCCTGTTCCTGTTAACTAAATCATATACTCCACTCAGTAACTAACTCAAGTCTTTCTCCCTATCATTTTTTTCTGTTAAACATACTAGATAGGCTTAGTCTTTGGCCTTTAATGCTATCCAATGGGATCATGTAGATAAAATACCTAGTATAGGCTCTCAAAAATGGTACATTCTCTATCCTTTTCTTTGAAAGTATCTTTATATTTTGTCACATTTGATTACAACAAATTTTATGAGATTAATAGGACAGATATTAGGTCCGTTTTACAGAATGAGAGTTTTACGTCAGCCAAGAGCCAGATAATAACTTTGTAGACTTTGCTGGACATATATATCTCTCTTCCCTCTACCTATTTCTGTCATGGTTGCCCAAAGCACAGACATGTTAATAAGCAAATAAGCATGACCTTGTTTTGATACTTTACAGGTAAATGCAAGGACCTGGAACAATTTGCTTTTCATTTCTCCCTACACTCCAGAGTAGCTGTCAACTCTTTCTTCCTCCTTCCCTATGTTTATTTCTTTTTATTT